GTTCTAATACCATGTTCTTTTAACCGCTCACTTACACATCGAATTAACAAACAGTGAGTAGGTATAAGATTAACAGGTCCTACCTTGTTTTGAACCGATGACATATTAATAAACCAATTACTTCATCCAATTGAATTACTAGTCTGTAGGTAGAAAATTTAATGCACTTCAAATTAATAATTGATTTTTAATCTCTTTTATAACCATACACGTGCGTTAAATGATAGAGAGTATGTATAGAGTTGATTTATCTATACCTGCAGTTGTGTAAAGTAAAAAACTAACGGGCCGAATTTGTATCAAACTACCAGGATGTGAGTATAAAATATGAAAGTTCCATAGATTTAAATGACGCACTGACCAATTATTATTTATCATTAGGCTGTGAGTATAAAATTTGAATGGGTGCACTTCGAATATTCATCAGAAATTCACATCTATCTCAATTTATAGTTCGTGAGTATGAAATCGTGTAATTTCATGTTCCAATTAATAATTTTTAATAACTCTTTCTATTTAAAACCATTAGTTTGTGAGTATGAAGTAGGAAGTTTTGAACTTCTTATAAACTTTCTGCAAATACTATTAATTCTCTGACTGCACTCTAAAGGGCGTAAGTATAGTACAATAGTTATATAATTGATCTCATTCTTAAGTAACCACTGATCAATTGACAGGGAGTGAGTATAGATTTACTTTTGAATAAATCATTTCTTACTAACTCAACTAATGTGATTATTGTATTTAACAGGATGTGAGTATAAAGTTTATTATAAATCTTACAGGTTATTTGAAAACAACGCTTCCTAGAGAATTCATTTTATACATTTACATCAAATTTTAGGTTGTAAGTATCTAAAACTACTCGGTAAATTTAACAAACTTTGATTACTCACACATATACTACAAATTATCCTAAATTTTGTGCTTTTTATTAAACAATTACTTGAAAACAACATCTCCAAAATACGGCCACGTTTTTAGCAAGGGGTATGCGTTTAGCGGCTTCATGATTAGTAAGCAGTGTTTTTTTTTTAAACGTAACTTTTGATACATAAATAAATTATTAGGCTGTAAGTACTATAATTAAATTATCTCGTTTAATAAATGGGACTTCACGGGAAATACCATATCAATTAACAGTGAGTAAGTATATTTTATATCTAATCAATAATTCATTCTGAATTATTTCTTACAATTATTATTATTTTCATAGACGGCAAGTATGAAGTGAAAGGCATTCAAATTGAAACTAATGCACCTTTATAACAAGCGTTTTCGCATTATACTAACAGAGAGTGAGTACAAATTTAATGAATTTATTAAAGACAACTTCTTAATTAACATTTACGGTATTCTTGCATCAAATTAACAGGGAGTAAGCATAAGTTTGCTCATTTATTTACTGAATCAATGATTGTCTTTTTTTAACTATATACGATAACGCTTCATACAACTAATAGGGAGTGAGTATAAACCTAAAGAATCGATATTTTATTAAATGATATTTATTAATGGCATTTCCGTTATAAATCTTATTGGTATCAAATTATTAGTTTGTGAGTAGTCATTCTTGTTTAAATTAATATTCTATTTGCGTCACCATATTAATAATAATAAGTAAATCACATAAAAAACAGAGGGTAAGTATGTGGTTTTGCTTAGTTCAAATAGAGATTGTCCAATTGATTGCAGTCAAAAATATTTAGACGGTAGGCGTAATTTATATCGAACTTATACCATGTTAAATTTAATCTATTCTAATGGTATCAAATGAAATTGATAGTTCGTAAGTATTAAATTAATCTGTGTATATTCAAATCGTTTCCAATGTTAATTCCTTTATGACCAAATATAGAACATGTCAAGAATGTAATAAACTATGTAATAGCTGTGGATGGTGTCATTCTTGCTACTATAGACGATTTCAGCAAGATTTTATTAATTGGGAAAGCGGAAATGAAGTCGTAGATAAATTTATTCAAGATGTTCAACTTAGGGCACGCAATCCTAATGATATCATTGAATGGATCCCCTTCGAAAATCTTAAAAATATCAAATATCTCGCCAAAGGAGGATTTGGCGTTGTATCAACAGCTAAATGGCCAGAGGGCTACATGGTTTGCTGGGATCACGAAAATCAAATATGGGATAGATGTTCTAATAAATATGTCTGTCTAAAAAGCTTGAACGACTCTGCCAATATTTCTTCGGAATTCTTAAAAGAGGTATCCTTTATCCTTTATTTTATTTTCCACTTCTTGATTTCTGATTTTTAAAATTCGTTTATCGCCACGATCAATGACTTCCGCGGAATTACGTATAGGTTCAGGTTCAGTTGAAATTTAGAAGGAAAGGAAGTGCCATTCCAATTTATGGAATAACTCAAGATCCAAAAACCAATGATTTTATGATCGTCATGGATTATGCTGAGAATGAAAGTCTTCGAAGATTCCTTGACAAATTCTTCAATAAGCTCTCTTGGGCTGACAAAGTGGGCCTCTTGTATTCTATAATAAAAGGTCTTAATGAGATACAT